TGAAGCATCTAGGTATATTTGACTAATTGGATTCCCAAGAAAGTTAAGGAAAACATATACATACAATAAAACTATCATGTCTAATTTCATTCTCTGGCTCTCATAAAGCACAATCAACAATTCATACATCTTCATCATTCAATGAGTACTTTATATTTTCATTCAATACCATTACCTAAACATAGTTCCCAAAACTGTTTCAAAAAACTCATAAGCTAAATACATCCAGAAAAGAATTAAACATAATTTAAGTATTTAAAGTTGTTATGTAATACTAGCAGGAAGAAAAAGGAACCATCTGTTTACTGCATATGCAATTAAGTGTCAAATATAAAAGCTTTTACCAGTAAATCCTTCAAGACCAAGTAGACACTGGCACCAAGTAAAACATTTCTTTCTTTCCCAGTCCATATATTACATAATGAAATGTAAATATTTTAATGTCAAGATGAAGGCCAAGGCAGTATCAACCTGTATATCTTTTGTCAGAAGTTTTACAAATGGTGAAGTATCCAGCTGAATTTAAGATTTATTATTCTTCCTCTTATTTCCACATATTCTTGTAGAATTTGCTTGTCTACTTGAGTTTGTGAAGATTAGCTCAAATATATCAAATCCTCTATATTTAAAATAATTTCAATTCATTAGATAACTTTATGCATTTGCCAAACTGTGACTCAGACAGCACTTTTGGAAGGCATCTAGAGTTAGAGTTGTCCTCATGTTCTTAGAGCAGGCAAATAAATACAGTAGCTCTGGACAGTAGTTCTATAGTAGAGCCCTGGCCACACACCCCGTAAAGCAGATTTCCACACAGGGTGTTATATTTTGATGGCATTCCAGAAATAAAAGTCCTCCAGAAACTCCAGAAGAATTTGTAAACTACAATTTTATCAGTGCAGGGACAATCGTCTAGGAAGATAAGTCCTGCTTATACAGTCAATGGGAATTAAAAAAAAAAGTTTGCAAATCTACATTATCATGTATTCCAATCAATGTTTCCTAATGTATAAGTTTCTGGAGATATTTAAATGACCAGAGATGAGAGTAAAGAGACACCACAGAAGGCAATAATCCAAATGTTCCTCACCTAAAGTATGAGGCGTCCAATTTTTATCATGGAAAATATGCTTTAAAATCAAGTTATGCAATCTTTGTCTCTGCTTCTCTATTCTTGCTTAATTCTAACACTCCTGAAACATGCCAACAGCAGATGAAGAAAATCTGATGAAGTTCATCACATCTTCCCTAAAACTGCTCTGTCAGATAAATGAACTTGAGCTTAGAAGCAAGAAGACTGCTTGAAAGTTTGTCAATACTGTCAAGATGACAAAGTTGTTGGCTAGAGAAGTAACTCCAGATCAGTCATCTCATGGTAAGAAGAGTGTCTTTTCGATGTAATAAGTTTCCAGAGAAAATATCCTGTCCACCTTTTTACGTTGCATCAGAGTCCATGACAGAGAGCCGCTTACTTGCCTTCTAGCTGGCATCATTTTTAAATAACTCTTCATTAACTGGCAGTAAAATGTATAACACATTTATTAACATAAATGAATTTCAAATATTTCATATATTTACTTTCCAGTTATTTTTCTATTAAATTATCTATATATGTTTATCCATTCTTAGAAAAAAAGTTTTTATTTTACATTGTTATAGATCATATATATACATTACACAAGTCAATAGAATAACCAGTATATTTTGCCAACCCAAAGAAACAATAGTTGCATTTTCACTTATTTTTATGTGTTCAATTGCTGCTACCCACTAATAAGTAAACCCTGTCTTATCCTTTCTAATAGCAATTTCCTCTTAATTTAATGGAAAAAGGACAAGTTCAAGTATCATCCTGCCAGATTTATTCTCCAGTGAGCTCGTCTGAAGCAAGTGGAGACCTCCAATAACAAATAGACTTTAGGGATCACCTTTTTTATTTTCAATGTACCACCTTAATTTATTAAATAGACAACTTTAATTGAATGCTAGACAATTTACCTCAATGCTCTCAGCAATATGACAAAAGGAAATGAATACCCTTGTTCTTGACATAAGCCCTAACAAGGAATGGGAAAAATTAAGGCTGAAACTAGGGCCAAACTTTGCCTCTACTGTGTCAGAGCGCGAATCTCTTATACCTTCTGTTAATGCATGTACTGACTCTACCAAAAACTTTGATAACAATACATCAAAAATTGACTAGCCTTTACACACATGCTAGATGCCAATTACTATGCTGGGCTGTGGAGACAAAGTAGTAAAAAGAACACCAAGACATCTAGGTAAAGGCTTGATTTGTTTTTTGTCTCTGTCTGTCTCTCTATATCAGCAGTTCTCAACCTGTGGGTCGCAACCCACAGAAACTGTATTAAAGGACCGTGACATTAGGAAGATTGAGAACCACTCCTCTAAAGGAAAAATATTAGGTAAGTTGGTGTATAGCCTCTTAGAACAACATATCTAAATAGTACCATGAAAGCATTATTCAGTAAATCAAGGATTTTGTGGAAATATCATCACTGTGACTACAAATGTCTTAGGGAAGAATGTTTTTGTTATCTTGATTATCTTAGAGTCATAATTTACTCAGTAGATAAAATATCCAGTGTGTCTAAAATTGAGATGCCACAGTGTTCAGCCAAGCTCACTAAAGAGGGTTACACATTATTCAACAGATAATTAAAATAAAAAGCACAATGGCCCCACTTGGCTCCTAACTTACAATATAATCATAGTGACTCATTGACAGAAAAGTAGTAAGCCACAATTTTTTTAAACCTCCTGTGATTTTTGCTCGTCTTATTCAGTCCATCCGAAGAAAAGAAGTCTTACTTGAAGTCGGGGGTTTTTGTTTGCTGCTTTATCATGGAGAATGACAGGAACATGTCCATATTCTTCAGCACTTCCAAACCTGAAAGAATCCCAACTAACATGCCTAATTTTACAAAGTTTCTAAGTAAAAGAAGACAGTCTATGTAACACTATTTCCAAAAAGAATCACCATAAAAAATTACTAAATTTCAAAAACCAAATACAGGGGCTCGGCGCCTATGGCTCAACCGGCTAAGGCGCCAGCCACGTACACCTAAGGTGGCGGGTTCGAATCCCCAGCCCGGACCCGCCAAACAACAATGACAGCTGCAACCAAAAAATGGCCGGGCGTTGTGGCGGGCGCCTGTGGTCCCAGCTACTTGGGAGGCGGAGGCAGGAGACTCGCTTGAGCCCAGGAGTTGGAGGTTGCTGTGAGCTGTAATGCCACGGCACTCTACCCAGGGGGACAGCTTGAGGCTCTGTCTCAAAAAAAAAAAAAAAAAAAAAAAACCAAATACAGGCATGAGACCATTTGTGGCCAATCTATAATATATATGCTGAAATTTCTCAAGAAAACAGTATTGATACCTCCACTTTGTAACCCACTTAAAATGATCCAGAAGTGGATACTTACCATAAAACAAAACAAAAATTAAAACAAACTATGTCTACTTGCAAAAATCCAAGTTTTGAAGATCCAAATAACTGATATTAAACATAAACCAGATTACCTATCTCTAAAAGGGTTTTGGGCAAAAATTACCACATCTAGGAAATCAACACACTATTCACTGAAATCAACATCTTAAAATGTTATTTTTAATCTACTGTTTCCTGGAATTCTTATTTGGCTTTTTTATCCAAAGAGAATTTAGTTGAATTAAATTCAGAATTAGATAAAGTCTAAATTTAGTCAAATTTAGTTGAATTTGATTTTATAATTAGTATAATTGATTTACACTTAAAAGAAATTATCAAAACTAAGTTTATTTCTTCAAGTGAGGTACATAATGAATATTGCCAATTTGTTCTTATAAATGACATATGGTTTCATATTTCCAAGGAATTTATCAGAGTGTTTATATCCTATCATGCATTTGGCCACATTAATACTATCGATAATTCCTATTTTTTATAGAATTCCAAAGAAAATTTAAATTAGTATAGTATTTTGCATTATTTTAATCACATATAACAACTTTCTTTCAAAATTCCCTGGTCTTTTTCACATTTATGTATATACCAAAATACAACACTTTATTATGCTTTTCATGTACATATAATTAATAGTCATATAATAGCTCTTTCAAGAAAACTAATGTTTCAATGTCCTGAATATCACTTAGACCAGTGGTAACCAGGAACTGGTTAAAAAATCAACTTTTCACACAAAAACTTTAAGTTAGGACACAGCAGACTGTTTAATAAGTCCTCTAGATGTTTCAGATGCACACTAAATTTTAATAAACATCAGCTTAACCAAAGAGCTTTTACTCATTCTACTAATTTAGCAAGAACAGACATTTAATCAGATAATCACAGCAATCTGAAAACATAACCTACGTATGGTCACCTCTCAAAAAAGAATAGAAGCTAACATGAAAAATCTGAGACTAATACTCTGAAGGAAAATACAGATTGCATGTAAACTATAATTCTGACTCCTAACCTATTTCCCACTGTTACAAAATTTAAGCAGTAAAGCTTTCTTGGCTCGGCAACTGTAGCTCAGCAGCTAGGGCACTAGCCACATACACCAAGGATGGCGGGTTCTAACCCGGCCCAAGCCAGCTAAACAACAATGACAACTGCAACAAAAAATAGCCGTGTGTTGTGGTGGGCATCTGTAGTCCCAGCTACTTGGCACGCTGAGGCAAGAGAATCACTTAAGCCCAAGAGTTTGAGGTTGCTGTGAGCTGTGATGCCACTGCACTCTACTGAAGGCAATAAAGTGAGACTCTGTCTCCAAAAAATAAAAAGAAAAGAAAGGCTTTCTTACTGCCAACAAATGGCGCATTCCTGACATTATTCTCAATTTATATGTCTTCATACAACTCAAGGACATGCTTCAACCATTTTAAACTTGTTTTCTTCCCTTCTTTCCATCTTCCCATTCACCAATGCATTCAACTATCTATTACTTCCATTACTCTCATCAAATCACTTCTATCATAAACTACAGCTCGGTTGATCTCAGATTTCCTTTGCAGGAATGGAAACTTTCATCTGGTTCAAGAAATGAGTCTCGGCTCGGCGCCTATAGCTCAACCGGCTAGGGCGCCAGCCACGTACACCTAAGGTGGCGGGTTCGAATCCCCAGCCCGGACCCGCCAAACAACAATGACGGCTGCAACCAAAAGATAGCCGGGCGTTGTGGCGGGCGCCTGTGGTCCCAGCTACTTGGGAGGCGGAGGCAGGAGACTCGCTTGAGTCCAGGAGTTGGAGGTTGCTGTGAACTGTAATGCCATGGCACTCTACCCAGGGGCACAGCTTGAGGCTCTGTCTCAAAAAAAAAAAAAAAAGAATGAGTCTCAGGCTGGGCAACATGGCTCATGCCTGTAATCCTAACACTCTGGGAGGCCAGGACAAGTAGATTGCCTGAGCTCACAGGTTCAAGACCAGCCTGAGCAAGAGCGAGACCCTGTCTTTAAAACAGCCAGGCTTTGTGGCAAGCACCTGTAGTCCCAGTTGGGGAGGCAGAGGCCAGAGACTCACTTGAGCCCAAGAGTTTGAGGGTGCTATGAGCTGTGATGCCATAGCACTCTACTTAGTGTGACAAAGTGAGACTCTGCCTCAAAAAAAAAAAAAAGAAATGAGTCTAATTATCTCATAATCAAGCCAATCCTCCCACTACCATTCAGCTTCCCCCCCAAAAAAAGCCACAAAAGAGGTCTTCTCTTCCAGCAATTATTATTTGAATTATCAGCCACAATGTGGTTATTTGTACTGAATCCTCTATACTGCATCCAACATTTCAAGGTCAAAGAGCCCATGTCATCACTATACCTCAACAGATCCCATGTTCTCTCCTTCTCTTTCTCACTTAACTGCTTGCTTCTAATCTAATTCATTTAAGTAGAAAGGGGATAAGCTCACTTTTCTTAATTCATTCAGCTTCTAGCTGTCTGCCTGGATCAAGAGCACTAAGAAAAACCAAACCAATCAGCTCAGCGCCTGTGGCTCAAGCGGCTAAGGTGCCAGCCACATACACCTAAGGTGGCAGGTTTGAATCCAGCCAGGGCCCACCAAAAACAACAATGACGGCTGCAACCAAAAAATAGCCAGGCATTGTGGCGGGCACCTGTGGTCCCAGCTACTTGGGAGGCTGAGGCAGGACACTCGCTCGAGCCCAGGACTTGGAGGTTGCTGTGAGCTGTGATGCCACAGTACTCTACCCAGGGGGATAGCTTGAGGCTCTGTCTCCAAAAAAAAAAAACCAATCTGAGAGGTTATCAATACATTAATGTGTCTAGCAGGAAAACAGGAACTTAATAAAGGCAAAAACTACAAAAGAACCTAACTACCTTATTTTTTAAAAGAATGTTCACTTCTCTGACCCCAACATCTTTTTGGTATAAAACAAAAACCAATTCTCACACAGTCAAACAGCATCAATGCCCACATCATTTATATCATTTATTAATACGTACATACAAAAACACTTAACACAAATATAGACCTTTGAACTAATTATGAGTACTTAAAAATAAGATCTTGCTATATTCAACTGCCAATGGTATATTTTTTATACATGCATTTTCTAAATTACCTGTTTACTCGCCAAACCTCCCCTCATAAAAGCTACTAAAAGCAAAAAAAAAAGCATCTAATCACTGAATGCCAATCAGATATAACAAAAGACCTATATGACTCATAAAAAAAAATAAAAGTATAGAATTATGTGAGATTAGAGACATCATTCAAAAAATACATGGTATGCAGCAAATTATTTCATCAAGGGCTCAGTATCAGAAAATTCAAAATGCCAATTTCATTCCCTTAAATGAATCATATGGAGTCCAAAATGTTTATTAAATCTTTCTCACCAAGATACAGAAAATGGTAACTTAAGAATAGTCCCTGGGGTGGCGCCTGTGGCTCAAGTAATAGGGCACCAGCCCCGTATACCCAAGGTGGTGGGTTCAAACTTGGCCCCAGGTGAAAACTGCAAAAAAAAGAATAGTCTCTCAAATGTTAACTTTAGCATTTAGCCAAAAACATAAATTAAGTAAATTCTCACCAGACCAAAACAATTAGCTCACCAACAAAGTAGCAATTTCTCATTTATGGAGAAGCTGTCTCACAGTGATAGGAAATATGATATATGAAATTTCCATACAAGGGTGGACTGGGATGGTGATGGGAGGGAAAAACCATACTAGTTTCTTATTAATAAAAGTCACCACTCTCTTGAAGTTATCATTTGAAATGCACAATGGAAAAACAAAGGTGAGATATACCAATGCTATGAACACAAAAACTCTGCAAAAGAAAATTGTACTGATGGATCTAGAACCAACTTCCCTTACTGCAGTGGAAATAACCTATGGTGCCATTCTCCTTAGCCTGCACAGTACTGATTAGGAAAAAACCTTGGGAAATTTACTAAGAACTTATATACAGAATATTTGTGTCATGAGTCCTTAGATTAATACTTAGGCTGGACTTCAGAGTAATCACATTGAGCTTTACTTCATCATGCTCACTAAACACAGCTCATCATAAATCCAACCAAGGTCTTTCCCAAGGTTTTTCCCAATGACTAAAACAACTATGTAAAAAGATTAACACCTCCACACAACATTCTACTACCCAAGGGACAGTAGCTAGCCTGTAAGAATGATCTGATTTATGTAACAATGAATATGAAATAGCAACAATTATTCAGGTAACACAAAATTAGGTGGTAAATGTGAAGAAATATAATTCGTTTCTACAAGCAAATTATCTAATGAAATGAAATGAAAATATCCTAATGTTACCACATACAGATGTTATCAACTTGCTATTCTCCCCAATAATTTAATGTATATCAATTTAAGAACATAGAGTACATTGATAATATACAGCAAAATTTTCCAGAGTTAAGTATAAACAAATTATTTAGGATAAAGGAAGATGGGCTTCATTTTATTAAATGAAGGCTAGTTGAACAGATGAAGTACAAAGTCCAACAAACAGATTCTGAAGGAGATCTAAACTAAGTCCTAATATTTCTAAACACAAGGAACCAAGATGATAAGGTAACACAATCCAAATTTTATGGACATCATAAAACTCATACCACTTTTCCTGAAACATATCTCCTAGTATATACGAAATTACTGATTTCTGGAACTGTGTCCTTTCAACTTTATTTTTTTCACCAAAGAACAAATGATCTAACAAAATACACAGGAAAGAGCCATGCAAATAAATCATACATAAGAAGAAAGACAGTTCAAAAATTCACAGGTATGAATACCTACACTATAAGTCACTATATTATCCTTAGCTATTAAATACAAAATGATCCACATTAAACAAACATCTAATTGAGCTATGAGGATCTTTCTTGCATCTGGGGTACTAAGTCTGGAACTCACTTAATTTTTTATATTTAAATCATGCTCAGTCAAGAAAATTAATTCAGCCTATCTTCTAACCATTTCTATCTCACATTAGTTCTTAAAATCATAGGCAAGTAGGTATTACGTTTAAAAAGCTAATTTCAATGCCCAGCAGAGATGATGCTGAAAGCAGAAGAAATAGAATTATTTCTTCTCATTTATTATTTCTCATCTTGCTGTAAGACCACCTCATCTCTTTATCAATATATCATTTAAAACACTCCCCACTTGGGCAGTGCCTGTGGCTCAAAGGAGTAGGGCGCCGGCCCCATATGCCTGAGGCAGTGGGTTCAAACCCAGCCCTGGCCAAAAACTGCAAAACAAACAAACAAACAAAAAAACCCCAAACACTCCCCAATTCACTTTCTGTTGGCTTATCAAACATATCATCAGAACTTTATCTCAAATATTGCTCTATAACTAAGTGTTCCTCACTCTTATAATCTCAAGTGGCACTTATGATTTCCACCTTTTATCAAAAAATAACAAAGATGTGCCTTAAAACAAACTAAATATCAAGAAAAGGTATGAAACAAAATAAGTACTGGTAAATACTAAATAATTCAACTGACCTGTTTAGGAATGGCTGGTTACTTCAGTGTATAGGAGAATGAAGTCAGATATTAAACAGGCCTAGATTCTAATCAGCTATTTCATCATAAGGAAGTACATACAAACTTGTTTTCTGACATAAATTGAGTAATACTGCCTCATTCTTTCACATAATATTTCTTAAAACATCTATTTTTGTGATGAGCTCTGTACAAGTGGATTAATCATAGACAAATGCATAAAAAAGAAACACAATACCAACTATCCTAAAATGTCAACAACATTCATGTGAAGTCATGTACCATACTCACTGTGTTCCACAATATCTGCTCCATAAATATTATTCCTCCTTCTTCCTGGACATCACTTAGAACCCTAGAACTGTGGCACATTTTTTATCCAAGAGGTATAGTTTCATTTTACCATGTCCTTGTTTATGTCTCACTAGGTGCCTGCACCTTCTGTGATCCAAGGGTAAGTTTCGTTTTAGCTTTCAACAACATACAAAGTACAGAAAAAAGAAAAAGAAATTAGCTCAGAATATCCATGTAAATAAAGGATATGTGAGGAACTGGGAAAGTATAATACTACACCTTCCAATTCTAAGTATTCAATGTTTTCATATGTCAAGCTAAGATTTTCTATTGAAAATCTTGAAACTAGAAAAATCTAGTGAGGCACATTGACTGGCTTTCAGTGTCATTTTAAGCTCAAGTTTTGAAATCATTATGTTCAGACAAGGTCCTATGTCATCATGAACCTAGCCAAGGCCTCTGCAATTTACTCTTACTTGTCTTTACAAGGTTATTTTACCTGAGTGATTTACGTTTCTGTCCTAAAAGCAGCTAATATGATTTTCAGCCTCGTTGCGACACTACTGGTTAGGATCCACACAGCAGAAAACTCAGGATCAAATTTTCTCTTCCTTTCTGAGTCATCAACTAAGTGGGCAAAAGAGTATTACATGAGTCTGAAAAAGGTGCAACTTACAAATATATCACTTCAGTTTCTTGTCATTCTCCCATTAAAAGAAAAACCCATGAAAACCTATCTTGGCTTTATTTCAAAAAATTAATCTACTGAGCATTATTATGCATATGAACAGGACTAAGGAAGCTAGAATTTAAGTATAAGACTGAATATAGCAACATATCAGCAACTGGATAAAACACATTTGAAAATCTCACCTAGCTCATTCTTGCCCTTAATATTTCTTAAAACATGTATAAGACTATAATTGACTAGTATAATTAACTACGTGTTGAAATCAGTAAAGGTTATCATCTTTCTAAGATGAACATAATGATTAAGTGATTATAAAATTTCTAGAGAAGAACTATTATCCCATAATTATTTATGTAAATCAGTCTATAGTTGTAATATTATGTTAGAAGAGCCTGAAAGAAATAAAACACCAATATATTAATTAGAAGACTTCTAAAATTGTATATCATAGTATTAATTGAGAAGTAATGAGTTCACAAAAGCATGTAACTTCCTAAGTAACTTTTGAAATCCTTACAGTATCAAGACCAGTTTGGCTGTCATATGAACAAAGAATATCCCAAATACTTCATAACCTACAGTAAAGTACAATAACTACTAAATCCCAAGAATTCCATTTAAAACTGTTCTGCAACCACAATGAAAACATTTATCAAACATGACCAGCAACATGAACATATTTATGGATTTAAAATTTCATAAAATACGTATATCAGGAAATAAGTTGTTGCCAAACCAAGTTCTAAAGGAGACGTGCAAGATTTGAACATAAGAACCCAGGATGATTTCTAGGTAACACAAAGCATTTACGACCAAGAAGGTCAGAATGAGCAATCCATAACAAAATATTCACCCACCAATCTTAACCCCCCCAACCATATTAAAATCTATGTCCCAAGTTGTCTTCTTTTATACAAGTATAACTCATAAACTATGAAGGTTCTCAAAAAGTCAAGCAAGCTTTGGGAAAAAGAAAATGGCATTACCACCACCAAAACAGCTATTAGAAGTAAATACCATACAGGTCTTTTATGACTCACCTTCAACTTACAAACCATTCATTTTTAGTTAAAAAATCATTAAAAACAGGTTTTCCTCAATTTCGCTGCATGATCACATATGTCAAAATCTCAGGGTCATCCATACCATTTCTACTCAAGGAGAAATGCTTCCCTACAAAAACAAAAAAGTATCACAATTAATAGTAGTTCTAAGAGCAGAATGAGGAAAAAATACAGACCTTCACATACCACTCACACAAATCTGAAAAAGGTGATGTCATTTGTTTACTTTATGTTTCTTACCTGAGAAGGACCATCAATCCTGGAAACAACTTTGGAAGAGACCATACAAAGTTGGTGACTATAATGACAGTCACTTTCATGATTTCTTTTCTTTGGAACCCCTCCACCTGCAAGCACATGACTTAAAAGATGGAAAATATATCTGAAAACTAATGCAGGTATGTTCAAAAGAGAAAATAAAATTCTAGTCAGTCTATCTCTATCGTATTATGGAGCTAGCACCAATCTTTAACAGTACTACTGAAAAGCGAACTCCTATAATCAGTATAGATAATTCATTCACTGCCTAGTTGAAACCTTGGCAGCAAAAACCTAAAAATCTCCTCCCTCTTCTCTTCTAAAATGTACTTATTTGTTCAATAACTAACTCAAACTGGACCTAGTTACAAGAGCATTCCTTAACTATTAAACTCAGAGTTTGGCTCTGATACAAAGACTCTGTCATTCTGATACAGGTGAATATGAGCATAATTTGTACCATAGTATGCCAAATGTATTTTAGGGTCTATAATATAGACCCTAAATAAATGTTATTATACTGAATAGAATATATTACCTCAAATATGCAATCCCTTGCCTCACAGTATTTGAGGCTCTGCCAGTCATTTAGTAATTTATAAATGAATACTTACTGGTAGACAATGGTTATTTCAGTATCAGGTCCTCAGTTCTGTTCACAAGGCACTGTAAAACCTGAAGTTCCAACTTTCACACAAAGCAATGATCCAAATTCCAAATGCTTTGATTTAATGAGTGTAAGTCTGATTCAGTACCACAATTTCCTTAAGTACAAAGATAGCCTTACAAGGCTTTTCATCCCATCCCCAGTTCCCTTCAGATAATGCTGCATAGTTAAGTGAGAGGCAGGAGGCCAAGTTTGAAGCAGCACAATCACTTAAACCCCCTGGTCATGAGTTGCCTTATTTATAAGGGTTTTTACCCAACACCAGTCAAATCATAAAATGAAGGTTAGGAAGCAGGAACAAGTATCACAACCATTAAATCCTAGGAATCAAAGAGAAAATAATTTGAATGAATTGCTTAATAGGAATTGCCTCATCCACAATTATCTTCAAGACTAGAAAAATTCCAGTTTTGACACTAACCTCAACAAAATTTTTAAAAAACGTACAACAGTACCTCACAGTTTAATTTCTCTATGCATTTATTATTAGCTATTATTAATGCAGAAAGGGGACAAAAAGCTCACAAACACTCTACACAATTTCACAAGACACATTGCAGGGTGAGGGGGGAGTGACTGAGATGTATCAATAGTATCAGTATCCTAAGGTCTGGGAGGACGCATTCCTGGGGGAGGTGGACCTGAAAAGGAAACAGAAACAGTTAGAAAAAGATCTTATAAATATTCAGGTGCCTGGCTGGCTAATTGAGCCCCTATGCTCCCACTCACCTCTAATTCCTGGTGGAGGGGGTCTCATTCCTGGAGGGGGCATACCTATTGGTGTCCCTCGAGCAGGGGGAAGTCCAATTGGTGGGCCCATGGGTGGTCTCATACCAGGTGGAGGAGCCATAATGCCTATAACAAAAAATGGCAGACATGAAGGGCCCATAAATTGGCTCGAGGAAGTAAGAAATGGCCCAGAGAATAATGAGAGGGTCAAATCATTTCTTTGAGAACACTACTCTTAACACATCATCTCCAATTCAAAATAGTCCACAGCCTTTAATTAAAAACCAGTATGTTAAAAAGGGAAACATACTCTCTAAATTCCATATTAAGCACTTAAGGTGCATCTTCATTCATTAACTTCTTTTTTAGTGTCTTTTTAATCATCATTTCCTCATGATGACATAATATCTCGCCAGAAACCCAAATTCTTCTTATTCACCAATATCTTACCTGGAGGTGGTGTTGCTCTGCCTACAGGGGGAGGTGGGGTCCCTCGTCCTGGGGGATACTGGGTTGGGGCTCCAGCAATGCTGGCAGTAGCAGCAACGGCAGCAGCTGCTACAGTGCCTCTTCCCTGTGGAGTCATTACCTGAGGAAGCATGGCCAAAAAGTAAAAGTGAGGCACATCCTCACATTATTCAAACACACAAAACAAATGGTATAAAAGACCTATTAAATACAAACAATTATTGCAATTTTGCATTTCACTCATTATCTCCACTTTTTTTTTTTTTTAAACTTTGGCACTAATAAGTCCTTTTGTCCTTTCTCAACTCTGGTATATTCATCCAAATTCTCTTTACTTCCCGACCAATAGTGGCAAGTTAATCCTATCAAAGTACTCTTAGTCACGCAATGACCAAATGCTGCTTACATAGTATGACATGTATAGTTAGGTTTTAAATCTCCGGAGTATGCCCAATGGACACTGGGCAGTCCAGAGACTCCCCTGAGAGGCTAGAGCATGGGGTGGCTTCATCAAGCATAAGACAATAAAGTTTTATTGTGATAAGTTAGTGTATATGGGAAAGTTGAGCACTGTATTTCTTCTACCTAGATCAAATAATTCTTAGCATTTTGCCATTTCTGTTTGCTCACTCTCCATCTATGAGTTTAAATGTATTGCCGAACCACTTCAAAGGAAGTTATGGAGGCACTGAACCATTTGAAAATAAGTTGTAGGCATTGTAACATTTTGCAACTAATACTTTACAACATAACATTTCATAATTGTTAATAAATATTTTAACATGTGTTTCATCAGAATAAGACCACTGGCCTTCCCCAAGCCTAAAACTAACCAAGTCATTATCATATCTAAGAAAATTAACTGTGTATTCTATCAGGTTTTTTAATCTCACATTCTGCCACATCCTGCCAATAAAATGAAACCCTCTCCTAGTTCCTCACCTGCTGGGATGGTCCCCCAACTCCTCGGACTGGGCCTGCTAACCCAGCAGGAGCCTGAGGAATTGGTACACCAGCTGGTACTCCTCTGCCAGCTGCCCTACCAACTCCAGGGCCTCCTGCAGCTCCAGCAAGGGGTACTCGAGCAATGCCAGTCTGAAACAAGAAAATTTATAGCTTAAATATAAATAATTTATCCAAGTTCTTAGATGTCTTATTCAAAAGTCATTTCTCCCCATATCCCCACGCCATCTCATATTAGTTCAGAATTGAAGATAATAAGTATAGAATGGAAGTGCTTTGCAGATTCCTAAAATGTATATAGTTGTCAAATGTATTTTTATAACCATACAAAGCAAAAATAAGTCAGATTATCTTACCCTTATCTATAAGCTTCCATCAGATAGAATAACTCATCAAAAAGCCTTAATCCCTAAAAGCACAGATAACCAAAAACTAACATCAAGTGCTATACACATTTTCTTTGACAAATGTATACTGTGCCTCTAGTGTGTACCCTGATTTCAAATATACGAAATACTTTTAAAAATGTTCTCGCACACTTAAGTTCTTTCCTTCCCTATATCTTCCTTACATCTTTGGGGGGTGGCCCCTCCACAGTCATGGATACCAAGTTCTCCCCACGCAGCAACACCAGACCCAAAACCCGCTTTTCTTCACGTTCTGGCTGCTTCGCATTCTTTGGCCTATAAATCAGAAGTAAATTTCAGTCACATAAATCCTAGTGACCTCTAGATCACTCAATCACCCAAATATTCATGAAGTAACAATGAAAACAATAACTTATGCCATTTAAACAGTAACCTACAACCCCAAAGTAACAAGAAATACTTCTAGACTCATAGTAACATACAAGGATAAAGAGCAAAGTTATCTTATTTAACTTCAGTCTTTTTTCTCAATGTTTCCTTAATGTTACGCGATAGCAGATCTAAGTTATTCTATAAAATGACATGCCTAAACCTTTTAAGATATTCAAAATTGGCTCAGCGCCTGTCACTCAAGTGGCTAAGGCACCAGCCACATATACCTAAAGAGGCAGGTTCGAATCCAGCCCAGGACCGCCAAACAACAATGATGGCTGTAACCAAAAAAAAAAATAGCAAAGGCAGGAGACTTGATTAAGCCCAGGAGCTGGAGGTTGCTGTGAGCTATGCCATGGCACTCTACCCAGGGGGACAGCTTGAGGCTCTGTCTCAAAAAAAAAAAAAAAAAGGCTAATAAAAAAAAAGATATTCAAAATTGAAACATCACCTTTCATATCAGGAAAGGAGACAACTTTTTAAAAATTATTTAACTAGGCTCAGCACCTGTAGCTCAAGTGGCTAAGACGCCAGCCACATACACCAGTGCTGGCGGGTTCAAATACAACCTCGGCCTGCCAAACAACAATGACAAATAGAACAAAAAATAGGCAGGCATCGTGGCAGGTGCCTGTAGTCCCAACTACTTGGGAGGCTGAGGCAAGAGAATTGCTTAAGCCCAGGAGTTGGAGGTTGCTATGAACTGTGATGCCACAGCACTCTACCCAGGGCGATAGCTTGAGGCTCTGTCTCAAAAAAAAAATTATTTAACAAAATAACTAAATCTTTTTTTTATTTTTCTGGTTGCAGTTTTTGGCTGGGGCTGGGTTTGAACCCACCACCTCTGGCATATGGGGCTGGTGCTCCACTCCTTGAGCCACAGGCACTGCCCTAAATAACTAAATCTTAATGATATTTAATATTTAGTATAGAACTGAAGGAAACTGAAACAGTAATACCAAAGAAGGAATACCAAGTGGTAATTATATCCCAACCCCTACCATGAAGAACAATTCACTATTTAAACCAAGATTTCTTTAGTCTAAGACTGTAACAGAAAGCCAGGTATGGTGGCTCCCACCTGTTATTCTAGCACTCTGGGAGGCCAAGGCAAGTGAATTACTTAAGCTCAGGAGACAAGCCTGAGCAAGACCAAATCTCTGTCGGTACTAAAAATAGAAAACCTAGCCAGGTGTTGTGACAGGTTCCTGTAGTCCCAGCTACTTGGGAAGGTGAGGCAGGAAGATCACTTGGAACCGAGGAATTTCAGGTTGCTATAAGCCACGATGACACCAGGGCACTCAACCCCAGTGAGACAGAGTGAAACTCTATCTCAAAAAAAACAAAAACAAAAACAACACACACACAAAGACTGTAACAGAAGCAAACCAATTAATAACAGGTTTCTCAATTTGTAAAATAAATATAACTTGATCATTTTTGATATTACAGTTTTATTCCTACTAAATCCATGATTGTTTTTACAAAGTTAAAATAGTTTGGAAGCAAAGACTTTGACCTAATTCCACCTCTGGACTTTCCTTCCTACTGCCTCTACCTCTATTACCCAAACCCAATCTGGCCTTACTTGATCTTCCTGAACTCATCACAATCACAGAGAATCAAATTCATATGTTTGTCAAAAGCCTTGAAGGTGCCAATGAAGATCCGGCCGTCTTGAAGGATACATCTCATTCTATAGTCAATGTGCTGTAGCATCTTGCTACTCTTGCCCACAGTCTGGAAGTAAGTAAGTAAGATAAAAAAGAGTTGGTTATCAGTTTGTCTGTGGCCTCCTTTCCCAATCTTTTCCCATTTCTCACCCACTTTTATATAATCCAAATCTGGTTTCCTTAAAAAAACCTCTTCTTTTTCCAATAATTTTTCCATACTTAACTCAATATACTTAACCAAATTTGGATTCAGAACAACTATCCTTCTCTAAATAAGAAACTCTGTACTTCTCAAAATCCTAGAAATCATTCTCATCATGATAAATTAAAATTCTACCCAAACAACGATCCTCAAGCCAAGCTCACTTTAAGATATTTATTTTAGTACCCTTTTCTTTCCCAATTCTAATCCAAAATACCACTTCCTAATCCAAATGACCATGGGGACTAGTTTTTTTTTTTTTACCCCTGTTCAAATTCCTACCTCTATTAAAAACTTTACAACTCCCAGTTTGGCGCCTATAGTACAGTGATTATGGCGCCAGCCACATACACTGAGGCTGGTGGGTTTAAACCGAGCACGGGCCAGCTAAAACAATGACAACTGCAACAAAAAATGGCCTGGCACTGTGGCAGGTACCTGTGGTCCCAGCTACGTGGGAGGCTGAGGCAAGAGAATCACTTAAGCCCAGGAGTTGGAAGTTGCTGTGAGATGTGATGCCACAGCACACTACCAAGGGCAACAAAGTCACTCTGTCTCAAATAAAACAATAAAAAAACTTTACAACTCCCAGTAACTCAGTGCAAGAATGATGCACTAATTCTTAGTTCTTTTAAGAACTGCTAAGTTCATCATACCCACAACCCTATTATTTTACACTTAGAATCAGTGTTTCTTTGCCTTCTTTCTCTTTCATTGGTTCCCCTTAGGCATGTTTTAGATTTTTATCCTAATCACCCATACTTCTGAAATTGTAACATGTAGATATGCTGCATTTAGTATTTCTATACAATGGGACCCTATGGAGGACCTCAAAGCATTATAAAGCCTGAGACTGTTTTTCCTATCTCAAGAACCAAAATTCACCCTCTTGGGGGCATTTATCCTTCTCTTTGGGAAAGCATGCACTAGACTGTCCATTCCTCCTACTCAACCAAACTAAACACACAGTAATCTCTACTTAGAATTCTAACTCTGTCTCCAGACTGTTTTCCTCTGTACTATTGAAACTCAAGCCCCTCGATTTTCAAAATGGTGTTTCTGTCTTCTGTAATCTGACCTAAGAGTCTCTCACCTATAAGATGGTCTCTTGCAACTATAATAACTAAAAACTTTGGCCAGGCATGGTGGCTCACACCTATAACTCCATCTCTAGGGTGGTGCCTGTGGCTCAAAGGAGTAGGGCACTGGCCCCATATACTGGAGGTGGCAAGATCAAACCCGGCCCCAGCCAAA